ATTTCCATCATGCAGTATTTTAATTATTCTTTTTAAAACCTTTTGAGTGTTTCTTTTCAGTGCAACTGCTTGGTGGTATAATTTTTCTAGGTTTTATTGATTTCTGAAGGAAGGTCACACAAAACGAGTCCCTGCTTCCCGAGGAAAAGCCAAATGCTTTGAACCCCATCACTTATTTTATCAGGGAGGCAGAGTTTATCCTCTTCAATATCCCTTTGTCACACTGAAAATAAATTCTGATTCCACTTTACCCATGTCAGGAATTTACCTGTTGTCCTTGTTTCAGTGCCTGTGTTTCAGTGACGGTGTCACCGTCGCCCCCATGCCCCCAGCCCAGGACCACAAGAGGCTGATGGATGGAGATGAGGGCCCCAACACAGGAGGGATGGGAGCTTATTCCCCAGCCCCTCAGGTGAGGAGGGGCTGATGAGGAAGGGGAGAGGGGCTGGGAGGGGATGTTTCACTGCAGAGGAGCAGGAGGGATGGGCTCTGCTGGATGGAAACTGCTGCCCCAAGCAGCCATGGCCAAGTCAATCCCCAGCTCCAAAACTTCTCAAAAGAACAGAGAATAGGGTGTCTACACTGAACTACCTGGGATTCTGTTGCAGTGAAGGGAGACGACCCATCTTCCTTGATCAGCATCGACTCCGATTTATTGATCAAACCGGGCACCTTTTATAACAGTGTTAATTCACTTCATGCATATTGCAGAATCTGAGCTCCCGATAGGCTGTAGAGAAAACTTCAGCTCCTCCTTTTGTTTCCAATACCTGAGGTTTGTTTACTGAAACCAAGATCAGTGTTCTCACCATGATATGAAAAGTTCTCAAAACCTTCATATCTGTTCCCAGAACGACCATCTGTTCCCAGAGCAGCCAAGGACAGAATATTTGCTTGTTTTTGAGGAAACGGTCTGAGAATCTTGTTGTTTATATAAAAGGTGGCTGAGAACCTTAATTATTTACAGAATCAAGCCTGGGAACTGCTGCTCTACAGCTGCCTTTTATTTTTCCCTTAGCTGAGTACCTTCATGGCCTCTTTCTTTAAGCCATGTTTGAACCAGGCTCTCCACAGGATTCCAAAGCAGGCAGTGTTATTTCTGCAACCTTGTGTCTGATTGGGATTTAAGTTAGGAAATGCTGCTCATCACAACCAAGGGCCTACAGCCACAGGTTTGCTTTGTGCCAGACAAAGCTCAGGGTGAATTTTGGCTGTGGCTTAAAGTACATGAAATGCTGCTCATCACAACCAAGGGCCTAAAGCCACAGTCCTGCTTTGTGCCAGACAAAGCTCATGGTGAATTTTGGCTGTGGCTTAAGGTAGTTGGGGGTTTGTTTGATAGGGAACTTCTGTTGGCAGAAATAGAGAGAAAAACCTTCTTAGCTTTCCATTGGAGTGAGCAAAAGACCATCCAAGAATTCAGCTTGGCTCTTAAGAACACAAAGCCAAGCCCTCCCTTTTTACAGACACTGGTTTGCAATCCTTTTTTATCAGATTTCTAAAGATTTGCTGCAGAAGATCAGAGAGACTGTTCTTCAGAAGACTGTTGATGGCATGAGGAAAGAAGGAGTCCCCTATGTGGGTATGTACAAGACTTTGGGATTTTAATCATAATGAAAACAACCTTTTGTTTTGCTTTTTCCTCTTTGTATCCTGACACACTGGAGGTTAAGGGGAAACAACTTTGATTTATGAGGAGCTGGGTTTGGTACTAGCCTTGATTCAGGGTCCATGGAAATCAGCAGAGGTCATGAACAGGGAATAATTCCTCAACTGAGGAGGAGCAGAAAGGAAAATGTTCCAAAATAAGCTGTAAAATTGTGGCAACTATTTCTGCCTGATTTATTGTTACCATTTCTCAAATTCACTGAGCACAGGTGGCAGCCTTTTAAACCCTGTTACCAACAGATTCAAAACAAGTGAGTTCCTGAGAGATCTTTATGTCTCATGTTTTGTTCCAGGTGTGCTTTATGCTGGATTAATGCTCACCAAAGATGGGCCTAAAGTTCTGGAGTTTAACTGCAGATTTGGTGACCCAGAGTGCCAGGTGAGTTATTTTGTACAATTTGCCATTATGGGAGGAGTAAAATCTGTGACCATCTACCACTGTTGTTAACCAGATTTGGGGTGAATCAGAATTTTAAATCACCAAGATTTAAAACATTTGGGTTGTTTGTTCAAGGCAGAAGGTCTGTAAGGAAATTGTTCCATTCCAGAGAGGATTTCAGTAGGCTGGACTCAAATCTGGGCTTTGCAAAGGTCAGCTTGAGAAGAGCTCAGCACTTCCCTGTCCTTTCTGGAATGGATTCTGGATTTTTCCTTGCTCCCTGTTGACAAGTGGAACAAAACTCCTAATTTCTATTCTTCAGAACAAATGAGGTTCTTTGTCCCCACCCTTTCCTCTCCATATGTAGCAATTCCTTTACCCACAGAAATTCTCTGCAAGGATGAGTATTTTTAAGATTATCTCTCAGATGATCCACTGCATGCCTGATGTGTGAAAGTACAATCTGTGGGCATGTTTAATTCTGCATTTTCAGCTGCATTGGTGTCTTTCCAAGGCCAGGGAAGGCAATGACCTGGTTTGATGTGCTGCTGTGTGTTCCTGCAGGTGATTCTGCCCCTGCTCAGGAGTGACCTGTACGAGGTGATGCAGGCCGTGCTCAGCAGGAAGCTGGCCAGCTCCATGCCAGCCTGGAGAGAGGACAGTGCCGCTGTCACTGTGGTCATGGCCAGCCAGGGCTACCCAGGGACCTATCCCAAGGGCTTGGAAATAACAGGTAAATGGAGCACAGGAGCTGCAGGAGCCTCATTGCCCCCCAGCCTCCCCCTGTTCTCTGCTGCTGCAAGAAGGAACTGGAACTGAGATTCACAGAAACCCTGGTTGTGGGTCAGCAAGGGCAGCTGGATTTTCACACATCTCAGGTTATTTTGGTGTATTTTCAGTTCTCCACACTGTTATTTGATATTGGCACAGCATTGATGTTTAATTCCTGCTGCAGCCAGGTGGTTGTGATCAGGGTTTTGGGTCACGTTGGTGCTGATGTTTGTCACTGAGGCATAAAACCCCAGCTGCAATCAGATGTTGTGTGCCACATCCCTGAGCGCACAGCTAGGCTTTTCTCTCCTCCAGAGAGGTATTTTTTACAGATTTACTCCCATTTTTACAGATTGACTCCCATTTCCCAGCAGCATCACCCTGGCTTTGCCCGTGGCTTTCGGACAGAACGCGCTCGGTCCCTCACTGAGAGCGTTCTAACCCAGAGCTGATGTTTCTCACCCACCCACAGGGCTCACCAAGGCCAGGCAGCTGGGGCTGGAGGTGTTCCACGCTGGCACAGCCCTGAGGGACGGCAGGGTGCTCACCAGCGGGGGCAGAGTGCTCACGGTCACGGCCATCAGGGAGGACCTGCCCGCGGCGCTGCAGGCCGCCAACCTGGGCGTGGCTGCCATCCACTTCCAGGGCGCCATCTTCAGGAGGGACATTGGCCACCGGGCCATTGCCTTCCTCAGGCAATCCAGGTAGATATTCCCACTCCCTGACGTGGCAGTAACAGGGGTCAAAAGGATCCAAGCACATCCCTGGGTGATATTAATAAGTTCGAACGCCATCCATGTACTCACCGTCAGCAAGACCAGCCAAGGCAGGAATATTTTAAATGCCTGATGTTCTTACTCTCCTGAATCTGAGTTAAACTACAGTGACGAGCACAGAGGAGTGATCTGTGTTGCTGCAGTTGTTAGGCCTGGTTTAGGGAAAGTCAACTTCTGCTTCTTGGGCCTTGGATCACAGATTTGCTCTGGTTTGTTTTGGATCACAGATTTGCTCTGGGTATGTTTTGGATCGCAGCTTTTGCTCTGGGTTTGTCTTGTCCAGAAGTCTGATATTCAATATCATGAAATGAAAAATCATTTAATATCATGAAATGAAAAATCATTTAATATCATGAAATGAAAAATCATTTAATACCATGAAATGTGGTCCCAGCCCCAACCTGCCAGAGCTCCAGGAGCATTTGAACAGTTCCCCAGGGATGCCCAGGGTGGGTTTTTGGGGTGTCTGTGCAGGGTCAGGGCTTGGACTGCTTGATTCCTGTAGGTCCCTTCCAGCTCAGGAGATTCTGGGATTTTATATGTTAACAAAATTCAGGCTGGCTTACTGGTTCTTTTTTAGCTTTTAGAAATGGTTAAAATCACCTTGAACCCCCCGCCTTGTTGGGATTTACATTTTACTGGCACAGCTGCCTAACACCAGGGTAGGATTCATCCCTTCTTTCCATTCTCATCCCTTTAATTGGCTCAGTATTTACTGTAAGACTCTGGAGATCATATGGGTGTGGGTTTGTTTGTTTTTTTTTAAATAGTAGGGAGTCTTGTTGCCTCTTTAATGCTCCTGAAAGCTCCTTGTAGTTTTTAAACTCATTTTTACCTAATAAGAAACTGCTCTGCTCCAATGAGCTCCCAACGTGTCTTTTCCCAAGGAGTTTTTCTGTAGGCTGGGAAACACATCAGTGTCAGTTCTGTTGCTGCTGGCAGTGTATCCTGATCAGCATTTTGTAAAATTATCATCAATAAACTTCCTAAAAGAACAAGGGTGTTGGCATTTAGTCTTCTTTCTCTCTCAAGTGCTGTGCATCTGTTGACAAGGTGGAATTGGGATTTGTAGCAGGGAAAGGAGCCCCAGGCTCCTTTTTTATTGCGTTTAAAGATGGGATTTTAGTTCATGTAGTTATTAGGGTGGATAGTTTGAGCACTTTGATTGTGTTTAAGGTAAGAAACACGGCTGCAGTTATTATGGTGTATAGGTAGAAGTTAAGGAGGGTGAGTTTGGGGTTGTAGATGATGATGATTGCTATTCAGCCTAGGTGGGAGATAGAGGAGAAGGCTAGGATTTTTCGGATTTGTGTTTGATTGAGGCCTATTCATCCTCCAAGGGCCGCTGAGAAGATGGCCAGGGTAGTTAATAGTGTGGGGTTGAGTGAGGGGGAGGTTATGTAGAGCAGTGTGATTGGGGGGAGTTTCATGAGAGTGGACAAGAGGAGGCCGGTAGTGAGGGGCAAAATAGCAGGTCAGTGAGGCGAGAGGAGGCTCTGGGAGCAGCTCCCTGCCAGTGCTCATTCCCTCCAGCCCTGGAATGGAGATCCCTCCTGCACAGGGAGGCTCCAGGGGCTGCTGCAGGCACCCAGAACCCCAGGCTGGGCTGGCTTAGGAAGGACCTTAAAGCTCATCCATGGCAGGGACACCTTCCCCTCTCCAGGCTGCCCCAAGCCCCAGAGCCCCCTCTGGACTCAGTGGGGAAGGGGATTGGCTCTGCAATCAGGACCCAGCTCCTCTTGGCAGCCTGGCAGGCTCCAGTCCTGAGGCATTTCACCTCAGGAAAACAGCCAGAATGCTTCATGAAAAGTATTCCAGGACATTTAAAGAACTAAACATTCAAAGAAAAAAAAAAAAATTAACAAATTTGAAATACTCCTAAAAACATGGTGCAAATCTGGTGGACATTTATCATATTCAGACTGAAAGGAGCTGGCTTTGATCTCTGGTTGTTGCAGGCCAATATTTCCTTGAGTCTTATTCACAGCCTGAGCAGCTGCCTGTGGTGATTCTTGTCTTCCTGCCAGTTTTTGGGCAGGGTGTGCTGGGAGTGCAGACACCTTTGGATTTTCCTGGCAACGCTTCTCCTGGGCCAGTTCTTCTGGCACTTGAAGTCTTTATCAATTCCAGATATTCCAGCAATGATCTTCACCACAGAAATACCTTTGATCCTAAAAAAAACCCTCCCACATCTTAAAATAAGATTCAATAGGCAGAGTACAAAAATATTTACTGCATTTAGTGCAATTGTAGGCATTTGTGTCTGTCTCTGACTTTTTCAGTGTTTGCTGAATTCTTGACCTGGTTCCTGAGGTGGGTTTTGTGGATTAACTGAATTTTTTTTGTTCAGCTGAGTTAATTCTAAATGGGTTTCAGTTGTTTTGTTGTATTTGTCCTTGTTAATCAACACCCTTAGAATTGAAACTTCCAGGCTGAATCCCACGCATAGGAGAGAGAAAACAGGGATGGATCTAAAATAGGGGTGCACCTGGTCCATGCCACTGACAGCCTGGGAATAACAACTGCTCAGCTGGCACGAGCCTGAGTGCTTGCTGCAGTGAAAAGTCATGAAATGCCTGTCCCCAGAATGGAAAGGTCCTTCTGTAAACATGAGCTGGTGTCCCCAGGGAGCTGTGGGGACACACAGGGGACACCGGTTTGTACCAGGGTGTTGATCTTGCATAAACCCCACCCAGAGCTCACAGACATCTCCTCTGGGTTCCTGAGCCTTAGGAGCCTGGGTCTTTTGAAGGAAATATATTTAATATTCTTTATTGAAAGCCCACGGAAGTAAGAGAGGCAGGGCTGCTTCTGAGGTGGGATCAGTGCAGTGACACCTTAGAGCAGCAGCTGGAAAAGCCTGGAAGGGTCCTGGGGGTTATGGATTCACCTTGGGGGTGGAAAAG